GTTTCAAACAATTTGAAATTATTGTTACTTTTAATGCTACTAAAATCAATGATAAACATTCTATTTATCTATTAAAAACATCTATTGAAAAGTGCATCAAGTTCTTAGCCTCAGCATATCTTGAGACAGTGAGTCAGGTTATATATTGTTGAATGCAATACAAAAGAGTTAAAAGCTGTACATTGTTAACATAAAAACAGGAGAACAACCATTACCAGAAAAGCAAAAACAGTGCCATACTTTGCCATTCGTTACTGCATCCAATCTTGTTTCTGTTTTCACAGAATTTTGATTGTGTTCCCTTCCTATATAAATATATACTCTAGATTTACTCTTCATTATACTTAAGAAAAAGAGCAAATGTTAGAACACCAGTAATGCACTGTGAATACAGCAGTACTTGTTTCCATATAGGTATTAGTGAAAAGTTGCCTATATAGTCTCTTTGCTCTGTTTCACTTTCCTGCCTCTAATTTATTGTTATGAAATATGATAAGGAGAAACTGTAAAAGTAGCTTTCCCTTTTGCAGTACTAAATGTGATATAGTGTTCAAGGAAAAAGAAGTTTAGTCTTTAAAAGCAAAATGGTGACCCATGGCTGAGAACAATTTTTGTTGGCTAGCACAGCCCTTGTGGGGTTTTTAATCTGCATTGTGAAATATGTGAGTAATATGAAAAAAAACCTTCCAGTAATATTTTAAACATAATTATTGCAGAAACCAAGAAAACTGAGAGATCAATTCTCAAGAACAATGCAAGTCTCTCTTGCGAGAAACACTGTTTAATAAATTATAAAACCAGCATCATATGAAATAGAAGAATATATTCAGCTTTGTGAACTCAATCTCATAAACAAAAATTTGCACAGATCAAGAATTTTCTGTTACCAGCTGTGATGATGGAGTTGAAATATTGCAAGAGAAAATTATTAAAGCTTTAGAAAAAGTAGTAATTTTCTACATTAACTCTTAGAAATACACGTTCCTCTAATTATTTTAGAACATCAGGGCAGGCATAATGGGTTGGGGCAAAACTCCATCCATCCAGGATAAATTTCAACACTGGCCAACAGCAGGTGACTGGGTGAGAGACCATAAAAAAGGACAAACATACACACAGTGCTAACTCATCCACTGTCTCCAGTGATTTTTTGTGTCAAGAATTTCTTGAATTGCCATTGGTGTCTGTGTAAATCCAACCTTTGAGTTCGTCTAAGCAATGCTTGAACTGGCATAAACTTTTTGCGTCCACAACATCCTGCAGCAAGGAGCTGCACAGCTTACCTATATGCAACATAAAGAAATACTTCCTTTTGTTCACTTTGACCCTACTTCAATGAATTTGAGTGTTGGAAAGGAGAGTGAATCTTTGCTCACTAGTCTACTTCTATTACTTTTAATCATTTTAATTATTATTACTTCTCTTACATATTACAGCTCACACAAAAAATCAGCAACTTACTGTTCATACCTGGGATAATCTACTCTTGTATGGACTGAAAGCTCATCCCAGAAGGAACCTAATATTTTATTGTTCTTCTGATGAAAAACATTTTCTTCTGCAAAGCAAAAGTTAGAATCCTACTAGTGGAAAAAAAACTTTGAAAATTCTTACTTCTGAACTGAAACAAAATTGCCAATGAAATCTGAAGCAAAGCACACATTAAAAATTTGAAGTGTCATACTGAGATTGTTTGGTTTAATAATTTTCTGATTGTATCACTAGCAAAAATACAGCCTTCTGATCACAAGAAAATAACATTAATTTGTATGTCTGATCTATGGAGACAGGGACTATCAACATCTGTGCAATCAAAAGGTTTTTGTCATGACTGAGGTACGAGAAATTTTTCAGATCCACAAAGGGAAGAGAAAGAAGAAACACTGAGCATGGAAAATCTCAGGTTCTTCTGCAAGAATCCCTGGATGTCCTGGATTGTATGGCAAAAGCTTGCATATTTAACGAGGTACTGTGGGAAACCATAAAAGGATTATTTTATATTTGGACAAGGAATTAAATATATTTTAACTGAAATTATCTGAGCTTTCTGAGTCTGCAAAACTCTACTAAAAATGTCACAAGAGCACATAACTACCTTCTCTCTTTTCACATGCTTCTCACCAGACTCTTCTGTTTCACTTACTGGCCCAAATTCATAGGAACCACCTATGTCTGTCAAATTATTCTGGTGCCTCTCTAAAGTCTGAAAGCTGTTCTGTGCTTGTCCTGGCATAGTTCAGAACCGCACAGATTACATGTTTTTTTTAAATATAGAAGGTGTCTAGGGATATCAACATCCACTAAGAACAGCTGCAATTCAGCAGCTGGAGCCTATCCTACTAAAGGGGTACAGTAGCCTAATGTGATGGCTCTGCACTGCTCCCCACCATCTCTCATATGCAGTGTTCCAGTTCTGGTAGAGAATTAGCAGCCTAACTTGACCAGACGTGGCAAAACATCCTACAGAAATTTAACTAATTGTAATTAAAATTTGGTTAGTTTGCTTCTTTGTTCTGTGTTTTTGACCCAGCTATGAACTTCCTTCTCTCTAATATGCCTTTCACTTGCCCCCCTCCACCAGAATTCCCTTCCTCCGTGCTGATCCTTCTTTTCTTTGACCCCAACCTTGCTTTGTCTTCTGACCATACTGTGTATGAGCTCAACTGAGGCTTTGCAATAAGCCTCAGCAAGAAGAAAGTAAAAAAATTTACACTGCCCAAGGGGAAATGGCAGGCACAGCACTGGATTCGCTGACTGGTCCTTGCTTCCCTTCTACCAGGGTTGAAGGGTTTGTGAGGCAGCAAAAGGCTCTCACCTAATTTTAACCTAGGAACCCAACACTGGTATGTCAGCCACCTTAAACTGCCCTCATACCAGTGGAGAGGCCTTGGCACCTCAGGATTAAGACTGTAGTTAAACTGAATTCTAAATAGAGGTACTCATCTCTCTCCACTCAATACAGAAGGAGCCTTAAGGGGCTCGATCCTAACTTAAATGCATAAAGACAAATGTGTAAAGATAAATGGTGAAATCTGGGTCTAGCCCTATAGCTTCTGCTGACTGCAACCATGTTGGTGAAGGGGAACAGAAAGATGGGTTCCATTAGCTCCTCCTAATAGAGAGTGGCCCACAGAAGGTGCTTTCCTAAACGTGTCCTCAGCCTGTGGTACAGGCAGCCAGCCCAAGATAACCCCATAGCTACATTAAGAGTTGTTTGCAAACCATCTGAAGGAACTTCTTCGCTAACATAAATAGCTCAGGGAAAGAGATGGCAGTCCCAGCAATGCCAGAGGAGGTGTGCACGTGCCCAAGGAATGGCCAAGCAAGTAGTGGTAGGGCACCCATGGATGTACAGCTTTCAATACTTGAAAGCATAAACTAGAAGAGGGCTTAGGTGCAGGACCCACCCATGAGAAAGCCCACCAAATTCTTTCAAATTTTTAGACACAACTTTCTTAACAAGAGTGTGGAAGATTTGAGGGAGAAAGACTTCTTAAAAAGGAACTGATAGCGAAGTTCTGTCCAGGCTTAGAGAGCACCGAAAAGTATTTAAATAGGAAGACAGCCTTTAAGCCACTAAGTTTAAGCTCGGGAAAAGTATACCTCCTCTCTCCGTATGTGTGTTCACTGTTGCTTTTAGGAAGTATCGACCACTTTAAAAAAATATATGCATAGATTTTGCAAAAGATCCAAACCCGGATGATACAATGATTCAATTTTAGTATCTTGAAAAAAGCGAAAACTTGATCACATTTGTTTTTTGGGGTAAGAGGAACTTACTGCTTCCAACTTAAAAAGAAAAGGAAGCAAAGCCACAAGAAAACAAAACCAAAAAATTAAAAACAAAGTGAAAAGCAGAGTAATTATGCAGACTCCAATACACATCCATATATTCTAAAAGCCGCAGACTCCAATATGCATTCATATATTTAGAAAGATTCCTTTCTCAAATACATTGCACACATGGGATCTCATGTATATAAACACACACACCAGCTGTATTTTCTCCCCTTTTTATTTTCAGCAAATGTATCAAAAGAGACAACACTGCATATATTTTCTTCAGGTAGACACTCATGCAGAAAAGCAAGAGAGTCATAGCAAATTATATTAAAGCTCACATTGCACATGCAAGATTAGTCCTATCAAGTACTTCAAGAAAACTAAAAACAATCTCCCCCAACAAAATTCCAAAACAAAACCTCCTGATAACATTGTCAAATCATAACTGTTTCTTACCGCATTACTGAGAAACACATCTGCAACCGTGGACTTTCTCTCTGACACACTGCAAACTTCTGCCATCTACTAACTACCGACATGCTTGAACTGTTAAAAAATGTATTTTTTTTTTTTTAATAATGGGAAAAGTATTTTTCACCCCTCATTTCCAAAAACAGTTGGAGCAGTTTGGCATAAATGTTCAAAAAATGTCTCAACTAGTACAGGACTGCCAAATTCCAGCAAGAAAGGTAAAACGACTGGGAAGAAGGACAAGCCACTGAAAATCTTTTCTTAAAATGGAAACACTTGTGCAATTTTAACTCCCCATTACAAGCATTATTATGTCCTCTGAAAGTGAAAAACACAAAAGCTCTCTTTCAAGTGGACAGTTGGTCTATGGTCTGAAGGCCTCTCCATTTCAGTCTTACTTAGGAAAAAATCAAAGGAGTTTATCTTAATGAAGACAGAGCTTAAAAGCATCAGGTTCTGGTTTAGTGTAAAGACCTTCCCATATCCTGCAATTTTTAACAGAATCATTTTACAAATAAATACAAACAACTTGTATTTCACACAAGCTTTAAAACTTTTACTGATCCTGGTTTTTCTTTAGTCTATTTACCATTAGAATCTGTGCAAGATGTGCCACAGGCTCAGAATTAAGAAATAATAAAAAAAACAAAAACCAACGACTACACCAAAAAAAAAAAAATCCAATTCAACCTCCTTTCAACTTACAAAAACGTGCCTCATAGGGACCATAAAATCCATGTAATTACCTGCTGCAGGATCTGTAACCGCTTGACTGGTGATGCCAGATGGTGGTTCCTGAAGCTGGTATGTTGCATTTGTGGAGGGTGTCGTTGGGCTGGTGTTACTGTTTGTCATGTAATGTGAAGGATATGGTGAGCTATTATAATACTGTGCATATTGGCCCTGGCCAAAACTGGGATAAGAGGGATATTCCTGCAAGACAAAAAAGCAACTGAAAAGTCCATCAAAGTTTTGCTACTTTTTAGTATAAATTCCAAAATATAACTACAAACACATGTCAGACTTTCAGCACGTATGCTTCCTGGACTGGATGCCGTAGGACCTAAAACTGCGGGGCAGTAAAATGAAATCTAAATTACACATAATTTAGTATGTCTTCTCATACAAACAGTTTATTAGACACACTGCTGAAGATGTGTGAATAAGAACATCAACCCCCCGACAATTAGTTCTACTATTGGAAGATGACAAATTGAAGAAAAACATTTATAAATGTTAGTTTAGCTTGAAAGGATGCTAATTTCTTTCAAAAAGCTATTTAAGGGCTACATTTTTTCAGTGGATGAGAATTCTAAGTTTCCTCAACTCATATTTACAAATTTACCTGCTGTGAACTATTAAATCCAGTAGAATTTGTGAGTGAATTATTTCCTGCATATATTCCTGATGATGTTGTAAAACTGCTGCCTGCAATGAAATGAAAAATTATGTGAATTACTAAAACACAGTATTGGAAAATAACTTCCATCATGTGATTATATCATAAGGATATGGCATATTTGTAATATTTCCCATATGTTGACCGATTCGGTTGTCATCAGCTCTATAACATGTTAATATATGGAAAGTGATAATTCATCGTTCCTACACCCTATATTTCATTACTGCAATAAAAAGAAAAACTTGAAATTTAGACAGGAATTTGGAGCCACCTCGGGTCTGATAGAATATTAGGCTATCCCACCCCTCCAAATAATACCCAGCGCTGTGGAAGTAATGAGGGTTTTTTTACTTTCAGTTTTTGTTGAACAACTGCGAGCCTTGTCCCGAGGGATGCCGTCTCCCCTCACTGAAGCCCACTGGCTCCATTTCTCCTACTGTCTTTGAGAACCGGGTCCTCTCCCCATCCTGAGCCTCAGCCCCTCGCAGGAACAGCAAAAGCCATAACTCCCTGCTCCGAACAGCTCAGCCCGACTGCGAAGCCATTAGGATTCGCTAATCGATCACAGACAGCCTTGGGCTGCAAACCTTCTTCTTTTTTGATAGAGTCTACCGGGCATGACACAAGGGAAAAAAGTATATCTCTGAGAAGGGAGACCCAAGATTGAATTTAGCCCAGAGACTGAATTACCGCCTTCACCTCCCTCCTCCCCCTTTCACGAGCCACCAAAAATAGACAGATGGGGCTCTTGCTTAATACCTAACCTGAGAAGCTGTTCCACTAAAAGGGCAGCAACCCCCTTTCAGCTGTTTTGCCTTCACTGGTTATAACCCGGGAGTGACACAGCCACCAGCTGAGACATATGGATGCACAGGGTGAAGCTACTTAAGCCACCAGAAAGTCTGTAATGAGGCAACCTATTGAACTCGTCCAGCGGGAGAGCACCAGCCAGCGAGGAGCTCGCATTAAAGCTCAGGGGTTGTTTACAGCCTCCCTCACTGCCGAAACCTGCCTCAGTGCAAAGATACACCAAGACGTTGGGAGCAAAAGCTTGCAGGTGAACGAAGGAGGCAAGGAGGGATGTAAATGAACAGGGAGCCAGCCGTACAGATGCACCGATCCTCTGATGTACCTGACACAACTCAATTAACAACCAAATCCTATGCAGCGGTTACCCATTGGGAAAAGCGACATTTCTTGCAAATCCAAACAGCAAGGAATGCAGGCAGGGCTGCATGCTTAGTACAAGCCCTAAAGGGCATTTGTGAGCTATTTACTTTTTTAAACAACAACAACAACAACAAAGCAATAGGTATCCTAGCTGTAAGAAGTCAGAAAGAAAAATATTTAAATGTTTTGATTGCAAAAGTTACTAAAAACGCACACAAGTTAAGCCTCAAAGTAGACATGAAGTATGTCCAACAGCAGTGGGAGCAAAAGATGAAGCTTAAACTTAACGTGTGATAATGACTGTAAACATTTCTCTTGTATTTGCTCTTAGTGCAAAAGCTCTGTGGTTGTTGATAGATGCTACTAATCCTGTGAACTAAAATCAGATTACTTCAGCAGAAGAGTTGACATCCAAGTTTAGCAGATAGTACAGATAAACAGTACTAATGAGAAAAACATGTTGTTTTAAACTTAATTTAAAATTGGAAAACAGATGTTATTTTTTATTATAACGAACCCCAGAGCCAAAATATAGCTGAAAAATATTTTAAATTGCAAAACTTTGAAATGCTATTTTATTTCTAAGACTGCTTTGGCTGGAAGAATGTAAGTCACTGTGTCTCTTTTTATTTCTGTAGTTATTTCTGAGTGATTCCGTAATACATTCAAACACAGGTTTTATAGGTGCGTGGTTTGAGCCATTCTAAAAAGATATAAAAGGCCTCTCATAGTTATAGGAAGAAAAAAAACCCCAAACCAAAAACTTTTTTTGAGGAATACATTATCTTCCCACAGAAAGTTTGGCAAATAATTTGCAAGAGCAAATGAGAAAAGTAATTACATGCCAGCCAGCATCTCTCCCTCTCAGACAAAGACACACACATACTAACACGCAGATCTCTCTCTTTCATCTCATGGTCAGCACTGGCTCCTATGGAGGAGGGGTAGGGGTCTCTTAGACCGTAACAAACATGAAGCAGGTTTCTCAGAAACGGCTCTGTGGGCCACCCAGAGCTACTGGCCTAAAGTTGTTTTTCAAATACTCCAATTTTGCCATTTGTTTTTTAAATAATCGGCCGCAGCACGGCATAGAGCTGCTGCTCCTGCCTTTAGCTGAACAAACACAAAAATAAGAACCTCTGCAAAACGCACAAGATTTACTGCCCCAAGTTGGCCAGCTACATAGGTTTAAAATGTGATAAAAGCTGTAAATTGCAGGTCAAAGGTCTATTTTGCAAAGAGCGCGGACCCACATTAAAGCTGGGAATCCCAGTCAGCGTCGGAAGACGGCCGGTCCCTGCTGGGACCAGGGCGCGGGCTCCAGGCGCGGGGCTCGCCCCCGTGCCGCCGCGATGCGCAGGATGCGGTCCTCCCCTGTGTATTTGCCACAGAAGTCCATTTGCTTTCCTAGCTCCGTCTCCTTGCCATGGGCTATGTCTATCATCAGGGTACAACGTATGTATGTGGCAGAATTTTAGTGCAGCTCTCCTGGGAAAGCCTAAGACGGCCAGATGGGCTATTTAAACTCAAGGTTTCTTCCGTTTGCTTACAGTGTTTAAAAATCCTTGGCAAACTCCCCCTTGTTGTCCTAGTAACTGCTTAGCCATCCAGCACAATATTTTTATACTGTATAATAATAACTGAATACCTTAACGTTTACTTTTTTATGGATGAATTCCCAAACCAATTGGTTAGTATGTTCTCAAACATCACAGTCTTGGTAACGAAAACAATGCTGGTGCTCATCACAGGTCTAGTGCCCTTCCAGCGGTAGGGCACGCGCGTGCAGGGTAAAAGCCCCATTTTTATCACAGTCAAAGGATACTCAGGAAGACAGTGGCAAATGGAGCTCTTTCCTTGGTGTTTCCCCCAGCCCTTCTCCGCTCCATTTACCCTCTCTGAGCAATGCTTATAACTCTGCCAATATAGGAACAACGGCCCATTCCCACAGCCATTAGTCATGTATGTGGTCTTTCAGCATCTATGAAGCAACTTATATGAAAAACAGCTTTAGGAACATACTCATTAAAGTAAGGGCGGGGGGAGTGGGGAGATGGGGCAGCAGAACCGCCTAGGTCCTCTTCCCACCCTCTCCCCTCCACACCCCCTGTTCCAGGGATGATAAATTTGTAACAAACAAAAATCCAATTACCAGAATAACCTTAGCAAGGAGTCACAGGCAGCAATTTTCCTCATCATTTTCAAAAGTTGGCAGTCTCTCCCTCCGCTATTGTTCGGGGACTAATCACGCTGTAATTTTAGCAGGGTCAGGAAAAGCACTGGGTTTAATTGGCTGCACACGCACCGCGAGGCAGCGCCTTTACGTTGCAGGGAGACATTCGCCCCAGGGAGAGGAACCAGAATAACTCCAAAGCTTTCGAGCACGAGGTAACCCCGATCAGGGAGCACAAGCACAGCAACTGCAAGGCTGCTAGGAAATCCCCTTTACTGCAGGCAAGAATGCCAGCAGGGCCCCAAGCACGCTGTCATGTAACGCTTGGTTGTGAAGTAGGTTGTGGGATCCATTATCTCCATTTAGCAGCTCAGCAGCCGTACGCAGAAGATGAAGAACGGCTATTGCAGACTACGACGAGGCTGAAGCTGCAGCCTGCCCATATACTGCTAGAGGGGAAAGAGAGAATAAACTCATTTCCCTCTCTGGAGGTTTCTGCACAAACAACTAAACAGCAGCAGCACTACCCCCATCTTCTGTCAAAAGAATAAATTTTGTCTTTAAATAACAACTGAAACTATGAATAGGTTCTCCTAAAATTAGATGAGGAAAGGGAAACAAATGTTCCTGTTTACTTTTAACATCTGTTCAATCAAAAGGAAGAATTATGTCAATTTAAAGTTGTTTCAAATTCAAAAGTCAGCCTGATGAAAATATTAAAAAGACATATTCTCATGTATAGTATAGATAAATACTGTCAACATTTAACTGCAAGAAAGACCTGTTCAGCAATGTGATTCTTTTCTACTCAGCTTTTGACAACTCCACCAAGATTTCTGTTCAAAAAATTCTCCTTATTTCCATTCTCATGGTCTCTAAGTAGGATACCAGTCCTTCCCTCATCCACACACCGCGCTGTTCGTGAGCACAACAGAGATGACATACACACCACCTGGACCCCCAGACTCTGACCTGTGGCTCTTCCACCCAAGCCAGACTGTCAGCAATCTGCTGCCTTCCACAGGTAGGCAGCTCTCACCCCAAGCATGGCACAGCTGGAGCAGAACCCAGGCTCAGACCTGGGTGAAAATCAATGCCTCTGACCCTCCTCTCATCAGAGCTTCACAACTGGGTCATCTTTAACACATTTCTCTTGCAGCATATTTTTAGATCCTTGCCTTTCAATGTGTACAGCTGAAATGCTTTCCAAGATCTTACCGTTCCATCTCTTGACAACCTCCACCCTTTCATGACCTTGAAAATTCTGATCTTATACACATTTTGCACATAGCAGGAAACAAACCAATACCCTTTATGACAGACCTCAATGTAGTCCACTGACTGAGTCCTAGCTTTGCTCTACTAATGCCAGAATTCACTGCTTACTCTTAAAATTTTCCAACAAGCACTCTCTCACATTATCCCATGCTGCTCCCCCTTTCCTCCCTCCATCGAATGAGTTTCCCATAGACATCTGCAAAACTACTTCATTGTCCTTCCTAAAATCCCTTTTTATTGACATCCCTTAGCTCTGTATCTTACAAAAACCCCCACCTTTAGAGCTTAGATAACCAATATGGGGTGACAACTGTTTATTATGCCTAAACAGTGCCAGCTTTATTGTTATATTGGGCCTTCCTAGCCTGAGTGTTTTATTTTAGCCTCCAATTTCTGTGGGGACCATATTTTCATTTGGCTGTATAAGTTAGCACAACAGGATCCTGATACATGACTGTGGCACAAAGGCACTACTGCAATAGAAATTATAGACAACACAGACATGATTTTTCAATAACTATTTCCTAGCGTCCATGAATTACCAGTTCCTTAAAAGCTGGAATGTTGATCCAGGAGTTCCTCATAGCTGCTGCTGGCAAGCATTCTGTCCTCTCTCCTACAGAGAGGTAGGGCGTTTTGGGGAGTTTGGGGGTATGCGTGTTTGACTTTTTTAGTGTGGCTATCTGCAGAAAGCAAACCCAATAACCTAGTTATGGTTATATTTATGCCAATGAGTAGAAGATCACCATAATTCAGCACGTAGATGAAAGCTTGCATACTAATACTACCTTCCTCTTACTTGTCAGAGCACACTACAAGTAAGCAATACTTCAGATGTCAGATGGTCGCTTCTGCCCTACGGAGCTACTCAACACATAGTTCAAAAGGGGATTTAAAAAAAAAACCCCAAACATCTCTCATGTGTCTGAGCGAAGGACTGGATCAATAAATAGACCCTTAAAGTCATGGAACAAAAGCAAAACCTCATTCACTTGGTCTCTGAAAGCACTTCTGCCTCAAGACATTTCACAGAGTGTTTACATGATGGCGCACAGTTTAAATGGAGCATGGTAATAATAAAGAGAGGTGCTAAACTTCTAAAAAATGTGGTCCAATTCTGTGAGTGATCACAGATTTCAACAATTCTAAAATCTGCAACACACCTGATTTCAACTGTCAAATTAGGGGTGGAAAAGTCCTGCAGCAGACATCTAAAATTAGGTGTTTGCAGTAAACAAAGATTTTTTAAAATATCCCTTAAGGTGGTGAAAATCCAGAACCAGGCACACCCAGCAAGTTCCCGATACAGAAGGGGAAAAAGGAATTGGGAGAACAAGGTGGAAAGATGTTAAGTAAACTAAACAGGCAAGTAAGGCTACAAAATATAATTGATAATAATAGCCCGCACATACAAAGACTTATAGCTTTTAAATAGACTTCAAAGAAACGGACTTCAATCATTACTTAGCTACCTCCACAGCTGCAGAAGGTATTTTTATCTTCTTCTCCCTCCCCAAACACACTCAGGTGTCAAATTATATTTGGCACTTCCTAAATTCATAATCCTGACATGTTTTCCAGGACTCGTTTTGTCATATTCACTATTTGTTAAACTATTGCTATTCTGAGACGCATTTTTACTGTAAGAGCACTACAACACTTCACTATTTAAAAATTAATGAAGTCACTAAGCGAGGGATCTTCCAAACTGCTGAGAGCTGGCCCGTTGCAGCTCTCAGCAAAGGCAATCATTATTTCAGCTCCAACTGCAAGAACATCAGAAGTAAGTGCTTGAGCAAACATTCATTTTTATCCTTGGAATGTAAAGACATAAGGGGGAAAAAAACCCAAACCCCATAGCATTAACTAGATCTAATTAATGGTAATATCTCTTTATACAGACCTTGCATCTGGTAGCTATAGGGAGCCTGTCCAGGTTGAGGCGTGCTAAAGCTGGCACCGTAGCTTAGAAATCCTGTCTGTCCAGGTGACTGTGACTGTGCCAATCCACCTTCTGTCTTGATGCCTGCCCACAATGCACCTAAATCAGTTAGTGACAGCAAATCTATTTGTTCGTATTCAAACAGGGATGGAAAATAAAATCACTTAACTAACAGCATTTTTAACATATACCTACTATTGCATGCATGAAAGAACAAATACCGAGAGCATGCACAAATGAACGGGGTAAAGGCAGTCTAAAAGCACACATAAAACTGAAGTTCACCAGGGAGAGGTTAAATTCAAAACTGTGTTTCCAACGACTGCAAAAGAAATTTATACATGAACAGGAAGTTGCATTATTCCTTTTTTCCTTTCCTGCCAGAGGCTAACTTTTCCATATATTCATGACATTTCACAGAGGTAGATTAGCAACTTTATATGATTTTAATGAAGCATAGCATAGCCAAGCTCTCCTGCCATCCACCCATTAATGACATAACTGAGATTTGCATTGTATAATATTCCTGCGTGAAAATTATATGGCTCTGAGTACAATGGCTTTCTAAGGAATTAGAAGTGGATAAAGAGAACTAGCAGCATTAACATGTAATGATGATTTTCAAAGCTAATTAAACACTATAGGAGGCAGTCTTTTAACAAATAAACACCTAATAGACAGGAACTATTGCTGAAGCAGTCTCCCAAACTGGGAAAAACATAGCAGAGAGTCATTAATCTACACTGACAGGGAAATCCATTACACATCACATTACTCTCTCATTTCCAAATTTAGTAATAAAAGAATCCAAAGTCCAATTAAATGAATGACTTGCCTCCCAGCTTCAGTGATTCTTCCCCCAATTTGTAAGACAACAAGCAAGTAAATATCAGCACGTGAAACACTGAGGAAAGACACACAATTCAGCCTCTGTCTCTTAGTTTTAATTATAAGGTTGTCCCAACATGAACTACCATTTAAAAATAATTATAGCCAAAGCAGTAGAAAAGTAATACAATACTCTTAAGTTTCACTGTGGCATTCAGTGATACCTCATTGTTCAGAAACCACCCTTATTTGAACTGAATTAACTAAGTGTGAATTAGTGACATTCCTTTGAAAATGACTGTTAATCTAAGTCCATTTCCTGGTTGGATTTTTTTTTTTTTTAAACAATATTCAACAACATTTGAAGGCAGGAGAGTGCTGAGAAGTTACTCTGTTTGCAAAACTTCAGTATCTCCCTATATACAAATGGCAGCATGTTTTCTTCTGCCATTTAAATCATTATTTTTCAACTGCTGTCATTAATTACCTTTAATTCCTTCTGCCAGACCCGCTAACTGCCAGACTAACCCTGTTTGCTTGTTTTTCCCTGATGCTTACTTGCTTCTTCTGTTTCACGTTTCAATTAAACAATCCCAATGACAAATCTGACACCTCGTTTCCAAGGGGAAACTCCTGCTAGGGATGTTTCGGTATCAACGATCTCTATTTGTTGTCTGTTTAAGGACTTCTGCAATACCAATTAAATATGGCTCAGAGAAAGTTTAACTAAATCAAGCATTAAATTTCTAGTCCAGCTTTAACGGCCTGCTTCAACTCTCCATCTCAGACAAAGCGGGAGGAGACGATCAAAGGCAGTGGCAGGAGGATGCCACTTGAGTGAAGACAACTTGGCACTGAGGTGCCCTTTTGCAAACCTCCATGCTATGAAGAGCCTTTCATCTCCTGGGATTTACTCTTCCCACCTGCTCTCACCCAGAAAGCCTTCACTCATCAAACCTCGATGCTCCCTTCTCCTTCTCCCATGTCTAATGTATGCAAGGAAGCGGGAAGGGACAGCGAGAAAACATAAGGGGACTGCCAGGATCTGGAAAGACAAGAAGTCGGCAAGCGAAGCTTTTGCTAGGTGCTGGTACCACAGCAGGCAGGAGGAGGGAGCTTCAGGAAATTCTCCAGCCTCCTCAGGGGCTTTGCAGATGAAGCAGAGCCAGGAGCCCCTGGGAGGCAGCTGTCAGTGGCATTCCCCTCCACCCCCCTTCCTGCCTGCACGGCTGCACCACGCTGAGGTGGGGGACTGGGAAAACCAAGAGGCTGGAGGTGCATTCGAGACAGCACCTCCCCAAACTCTGCCCTAGAGAGAAAACTTGAGGCAGGCTGACACGGGAATTCGCAAGTGCTTTTTCTTCCAGTAAGTCCCAGAGTAAAGAAGCCCCCCACTCCAGGTCAGAGTTTTTGCTTTCACGTATGTCCTAAGTCTCCTCTCTTTAGAGCTTGCTGGAAGCGCTCTGTCTGGACGAGAGAAAGGCAAGGCAGATGGTACGTGGGGTCTAAGCTGCAGGCCAAAGAGGAGAATTTTTGGCTGTAAACAAGGCTTCGGTTCTTGCCTGTTGCAAACAAGCGTCCCAGCGTTCCCCAGGTAATTTATTCTGGGAGCACGGATTCTATGATGTGCCTTAAACATGCAAAAATATATATGGTGTTAGGTCCCAAAACTTTTTAATAGGTATTTGCTTTTCAGTATTACCCCTACAAAATACGTCAGCGAGGAGCACCTTAGCCCCAGTGACGAGGCACTGTCTGAAAAGAACAAAACGCATTAAAATCCACTTGGCTGGGGAGCTGGGGGCTTCAGCGGTCTAAAGCAGCTCTGCAATGTAAAACGTTAGGCAAAATTATCCGAAGTCGTAGGCACAGGGGATGGAGTGGGCAAAAAAACAAAACAAAACAAAAGAGCAGGCAGGCATGTTAACCCCCGGCAAGCAGTTGCCAAGTAAAGCAACTCTCAATTATAGCTCCGACGACAGCGAGACAGCTAAACTCAAGTAGTGAAATCAAGGCCTTGCTGAAGGCAGTGGGAGTTTTATAGCTGACTTCAGTGAGGTCAGGATTTCATCCAGAGGAACCAAGCAAAAAACAAAAAAGTCACTGTTTGGGCTGTCCAAGCCACAGCAGCCAGCCAAGTATGAACACGAGGTGTCCGCAGAAGAAATGGTTCAAGAAAAGCGTGGTGGGGAAAGGGGTCGTCTGTTATCACACCACCTGATCCAGCTGGAAATAGCAGATGAGCTCTCGTCAGCCACACGAGCTTGTGGGGGTGGTGGGAAAAATCCCCACCTCTGTAGTCTTGAAAATGTAGTTCAAATATCCTTAAAGTATTTTGTTTGTGTAAGTTTAAAATATGTGGAATGGAACTGAAACCGAAACATCCAATTTATGTTTATAACCATATTTTTGGCAGTAAGTAATCAAGGCTATAGCCACAGGAAGAATGCCTCCTTGGATCATAATTATTGGTGATACACTAATGAAACACATTTTTTAAAGTAAGGGGAAATAATAATCTATTTCTTGTACCTACTGTTGACAACAATCTGTTGTAGGATATACTTGAGAGCCAGTGGATTTCAACTTGCAGATTTCAGAATGAAAGATTCACCAGTTTTGCACTTAAAAGTTGTAATGATTTTAAGGGGCACAGCTTGTACTGTGAGTTCTGTCCTTTTGGTATGAAATTTACATTACCTGAATGTATCTTTACAAAATATACTGCTAAAAGCATGTGGATTGTATATTTTTAATATATTTCCCCAGAGGAATATAAGACCTATTTTCTAATAATGCATCCTTGCTGCCGAACTGCTATGTGGTCTGCCAGCAGACAGTCTGGCAGCAAAATGGTCTCACCCACAGCAGCTTGTTTTTAAATTAAATTTTTTTGGAAATACTTGCTACTTAGTACTATCTCCTTCATCAGGCAGACAGAGCTTTAGTGGCAATTTACCTCAATTTTCACCTCTAGGGAGTTTTAAAACATTGAAAGTGAGACTTTTTGGTGGGGGTCTTTTTGAATAAGTTTTTCACCTGCTGAAAATCAGCACAGCTTCGTTTGATTCATTTGGGTTCCAGTAATCTGGATGAGCTGAAATTCAGACTGTTACGTACCGACGTAGCCTACTGCGTTGCTGGAGAACAGAGCTCCTCGGCAAGTCACCAGGAGCTGTGCCTGTGTAATGGAAGTCCCTAGATCTCTTTTCCCATTTCAGTGCTGGTTTTTTAATATCACCAATAAAACCCTAATGAATCTCTCTACTTGATCCCAAAACAGAGTCATCCTCTTGAGCAGCTTCTTAGCTCTTTAATACAGAAATTAAGCATCACTCACTCCAATGGGGAAATTACCAGGCTCCCACAAGAAATGCTCGAGAGCACAGCTGTCCCACTAAGTACTAACGCAAGGGTCACGTAATCTTGATCTAAAAACCATTTGCCCCAGGAATAAAACAACACAGACGTGCTTTCTTACCATATGAAGGGATTCCATAGGGTTGGCCGGGCTGGGGGTAAGTGGCATAAGCTGTAGCTTGTTGCATCCCCGCTGTAAACTGTGTCTGCCCATACGCAGCCATCGTTTGTGAAGAGGGGGTAGGAAGAATATGTGGGTATGGTCTGCTATTGATTACAAATGACAGAAAATAGGACAGACACTGCATTAGACAGACATGCGTGTACTTATTTTTAGCCTTATTATAATCCTGCTACTTCATTAACACATGATCATAGGCTGTGCTAGACAACAGAAACTGTAAGACAAAGACAAAACAACAATAAGAAATCAATAATAAAAGAATAAGTAAAATAAGAACTTTCCAAATATTTTCAAATACATTCTTAGCATTTAAAAAAAATATTTTTTTTTTCCCTAGAAGCTGCTGTGGTTTAAATTATGACCTAACAGATGGACCCAATTATTATTTTAAATGAGGTTAAAATCTGTCTATTTCAGTTATTATTACTACTACTATTATTATTTTTAAAAGATATCATACTTGGAAGGGTAAATCTGTGGCGGGGAGAACTGGTGTGTTTGTCTTGGGCTGAAACCACTGCTTCCAATTGCTGCACCAAGGAGAAAAGAAAGCACACAGAAGTGTAAATACACACACCAAAGACAAATATTATTTTTCCTAATAGAATTTCAGGGTATTAACAAGATTTTAATTAAATTCAAATATCATTGATACCTTAGATAGAAAATAATATTTTATCAGGAACTATACAAGAATGCTTAACATTAAATCTTGATTACAAATCTCAAATACTAAATTGCCCCTTTGTACAACTCCTGAGCCATAGTTTATTCTTTGCTCGCACACAGACAACATTTTCAATGCAAACAACCTATTTCCTAATGGAAACATTTCCCTTCATATTTTCAAAGGATTATTGATATCTCAAGTGCAACATTTTTATTAACTTTTAGAATTTTTAAGACCTACATTTTATGAAGGAGCTTTATGCGTGCCTCAATTGAAAACATATGGCCAACTTCAGAGCACGTGCCTTTTTTTTTTTAAAAAAAAAATAATTCCATAATACAGAAGATGTATTACCATATTACACTTCCTCCTCTTTTCCCCCACCTTATCTGCTTTCTAAAATGCTTTCAGACCTTCAAAACAGTCAGTATTGCATAAAGATGTCCCTCGTGCAAATGCTCTTAGTGAAACGCTTAAGCCCAGGAGGCTAAACAGTGAGCTTCGCCGCCGGCAGCCCAGCCGCTGCTGACGCAGAGCTTTACGCCAACCCGTCCTGATTTCTTTCGGTATTTTTGGGCGCTGCCGAGAGCGTGGCGGATGTGCTGGCGTGCTCCGCTCTGGGCGTTATTTTCGGGAGCCCTTCCCTCTCTGGTTACCGTTTGGGTGCCATTTCTTCTCCAGGTCCCAAGGTGGGGTTTGAAGCCTTTGCCAGGAAGGGGTCAGCAGCAGGTTATGAGACTACTGTAAAATCAGACAGCCGGAGAAACAACAGGCCCTATTGCTAAGTACTTGGAAATAAACAAGGCACGGATAATTACCCTTCGCCAGCTACCCCTTTCCTGGCCAACTACAGGGAAAATCCATCATCTTTACACTCCGGGAGTGCTCGCGAAGTGTGGAGGGAAGCAGGGAATCCCTTTCCATGCCTTCCACACCTGATAGTTTTTCTTTTCTGTGGCCTGTGAGGCTGCAGATATGTCAAATGTTACGGTCCGACCTTTAGTCAGATCACCACAGATGTACGTAGCTACTATCAAACACACTACCTTTTCTTCTTTCAGAGATTTAAAATACTCTAGAAACCTTTTTTTGCCTTTCAAGTTTGGTACTTTCATACTCAACAGCATGTGCAAAAAATGGAGGCTGTGACAAGACCAGAAAAGGGCTGGCTACTTGGAGCCTGACTGGTTCCGAGACGTCAAATTTTGCTAGTCTGGAAATATAATCCCACGACATAGTACTAGATCCTTTTTTATTTGATTTGCACCGTAAAAACAATGTGCTAGAAATACCATGGTTAATCCATAGGTATGCAAAACTGTGCAAACATCTTAGGATTTTCTCACAGTGTTTGTCTCCTGTCTGTTAGAAGCTAAGATGTGTTTGGCTTCCAGGAAGAAAAAAAGCCTGACCAAAGAATGAATACCTTGATAATAATAAATTACAATAAATGAGGAAGACCTACCCCTCAATTACAACACTAATCACAGAGGCAGGTATGTTTACTTACAGAAGACAAAAGAGTAATTACTCTGGGCCAGAATACTCCCTAGTGAGACTCCCACTGAAGACACCAACAGAGATTAATAAGCCTGATGCTGTAATGCTCCTTACTCGGGGAAGACTCCTATTGACTTACACTGTCTGAGTAAGACGAACAGAAACAGGCATAAGCTGCAAAGTGCACAAGGCTTTTTAACAGCTGTGCACAGGTTTACACCACATGGGATAAGAAAATAGTAAATGAAAAAATGCTGAGCTTAAAACCTTTGTTTATTCCTTACCTGATCCTGAGAAATTGTCTAAAGACCCGTCTGTGGTAGTAGTAGTAGCAATCTCACTGCTGCTCATTGGTTCTGTTTTAACTATAGAAATATAAATAAAATATATTCTATATGCACCTAATATTCTTGCACACGCATGCACACACACTCACTACAGCCACAAATTCAATAAAACAAAATGTGCCAAAAATGTTTTAAATCATGGCTATCGATATTTTGCATTTTATGTATTTGTGTATACAAATAATGCAAAGTACTGGCAGCTATGATTTACACATACATTTAAAATGATCAGGAGGGTTATTTCTGTCCCCAAGGAATAAGAGCCACTGTTAACAAACCAGAAGTCCCCATGCAACTCTCTGCACCTGTCCTGATTCCTCTTAATCCTGCAGACCCAACAATAAGGGTCCACATTTAGATCAGGTCACACAGACATTTACAGGCTTGAAAGACAGGAATTTGAATAAGACAAAAAAGGAAATATTTTTAAAATGGGTTTCTCTGAGGGCTGTTCAAATTTTTTTTTTCCATCCAAATAACATTTCAGAGGAAAAATAAGAATTTGTGATGAAGTAAAACACTTCCCTCGTGGTGGATTTCTCCTCTCAAAATGAAAACCAACTTTATACTCAGCAACCCTGAATAAGCAAAGGGGACACAGTCCTCACCAAATACTTCAAAGAACGCTTTTACATTTTATCACCTCTGCACCCGTAACCCAACATGGCTGTCAGAGAGTAAAAAAGAATGACAGTAAGAGAGATTCTCTCCTGGCTCATGCTGCTTCATAATTAATTATTAATTAATGACTTTTAATAAAGCCTTAAGTAAATAAGCAAACTTCCCTTTCTGTTACTCCAGCGCAATCTCAGTAACAGTATTCTGATCCATGGAGCAAGGATAGGGCTGACCTGGCATGGATGCAGACAGGCACAATACCTACTCCCAAGGAGCCATCAGATCAGCACGGCAATCTCTCAAATCCATTTTTACATACCTAGCTTTTGGAGTTACAGCAACTTGTTGCACCAAAAGCAACCGAGGATGACGTTTCAGAAAACAACGGAGCTGATCTTACTATCAACATCCCACCGCTTTCGCTCTTGTTGACACACACAGTCACCACTTCCCACGCACCAGAGCTGGTGCATACCTGACCTTTCAGCGAGGCAGTTCAGTAATGCTGCAAAAGGTGAATCTGAGAAAACCAAGGTAAACTGCACCCCATTTGACACGTAAAGCCTTGGTGTCATCTTGACACAGGTGTGCGTGTATGCATGTATGTTTGTCAATACATACGTGTTGAGGAATTGCAACCATCACTGGCAGAAACCCTTTTGGTGCCAGGTTTGGAAAGGGAGAGGCAGAGGCGCTTTCCCCTTTTGACAAAGGATCTTTCCTTGCCAATCCAAATTCTTATTTCCGCATGCCTCACTATTTCCTTCACCTGACCTCATCCACAGGATTTATATGCAATCGCTCAAGATTCTACTAATTACCCACTATTTTCTTTTGTTTCTCATGCAGGATGTTTTTGTCTGTACATGCTAACTCGGGAGATCAATACTAGGTCCACACAAAACTCTGCTACGTCTGCATTAGTAAGAAGTGCAGCCCAGTAAGAAAAATTTCATGGAGTGAAATGGTTGGTGCAGATGGTCCAGTATCCACACTTCAGGCATTTTTGGGGGGGTTATTCATGCTAGGTTTAGTCTTGTCCCAAGGAGTGAGCACCCATCAGCAGCTGGAGAACATTAGCTGCGCTCCTGCAGAGCACCTTTTTTGAAAGAGGTGAAGTCCAAGAGACTCCACAAGGTGATTTAACATGTGGTAAGAAAGGCTGGTCAAGAGGTTCACTTCAAGAGTGCACTCATGATCTGAACTACAACTCTAATACAAACGTATTTCTTAAAAACACAGCATGTAAGATATCCAACATCCATTTCATAACTAAATACTGAAAGTCTAACACACAGATGCAACAAAGTATTTGTTGCAAAGTGTCTATCCCAAGTAATTTTCCAGAAACTACCAGATCTTTACAGCAAGTTCTACAAAATGTGTTAATCTAGATACCAAGAATTAGAGCATCTACATTATCTTCTGCTTTTTCTTAGAAGTTTATCACAGCTACATTTTATAGTCAGACTAATATTTCCCTCATAGATTACTCCAGCTTTCCCCAAACTCTGCAAGTCTTCTGAACCCAATTTCCCGCAATTATACTTTTGGAAATAACAATGAAAGATGCTTTTCTCTATAGCTGGCAGCTGCAGGGGAGGAAAAGAGAGGAAGATGAGACAGAGCAACCTAACTTGGGGTCAAGGGTGGAAGATTTCAGTATATGCTTTCTCCAAACTCTTCCCCTCTTCTCTACTGGAGAAACAATTCTTCTATATTCCTTATAAAATAAAATATCATTGTTTGGATCACCACAAACTAGCAGTCCAAGGACTATGCTGAGCCAGCTCATACAATATAGAGATGTAGAGCATCATTTGGTTTTGATAAAGGTTTTTAGGATATTCTTTCCAAGTGGATGTAAATGCCTCTTTTGCCATTGGTTTAAAAGCCTACTTCACGTGCCTTTGCACCTATCTGGATCTCAGATACCATTTGGGTGAAAACTTCATCAAAATGGAATTTCTGTCTCTACGACTCATGAGCAATACTTCTGTGCAACAATATTTGTAACTGAATGCTGTTTACTAGACATACTACTTTTGAAGATACGGGATAACATACATGAAATACAATGCAGTGCCTTCTTCATGGAAATGAATTCTAGCTGCTGACAGAGGTGCTCACAAATTTTTCATAACAACTGTTCCTTATGTCTCCTCTCTCGGCTGTTGTATTTCCTGAATAAATGAAAAACAGGATAAGAAAGGCTGTTCACATTATTCCTGATCTGGATACCCATTAGTAGGCTGATAAGAAATAAGCCCTATCATGCCGTCTTTAGGAACAACTATGACCTTAATGGACCTTTGCCCCGTAGCTAGTTGGGAATTTAATAAAGATGGATAGGAACACAAAAGCCCTCCGTTCCCCAAGCATTTTAATCAAAATGCCAGAAAATGACTGCCTATTTCCTTCTATCTGAGCCTAAACATCTTTCAAGATAATCAAAGCTTGCTATACAAAGAAATAAACTGAGAACAGCCATGGTTTTACCCATTGGAAATATTTACCATGTGTATTGTCACTGCAGAGGAAGGTTTCTCATTTGCCCAAGGCAAAAACTGACCTGCAATGGAGCATATTTCACCCCAGAATCACGGGGAAAGAGTGCTGCAAAGGCATTGCCTAAGGTTACAAGTCTGCCAGTCTATCACAGTAGCACATCAGTAATCCATGTCTATCATGAGAGACGTATGGAGCCGTCCAAGGAAGCAAGGCTTTGGACCGGCACGGAACTGGCCCTGACGCATGCTCCTTAAGCATGCTCTGGATTTCAGCTCTCCACATTTTCCACAACAATTAACGTTTCTGCAACACGTCCTAACCTTTCACAGGATGACACTGGGCAATGAGTGGGAACGTTGCCACATCTACACAGAACACGGTGCAAGCTTGCCTGTAACTGTTAACAGCATGCTCGTGGCAGAGACCGCAGAAAGTGAAACGGGAGAGTTCCCATTTCTGCTGCTTCTTCATCAAAACAGACCTTTACAGAGGTGCAGAATTATCAGACTTGCATTATAGAGACAGGCTTTGATTTAGCAATGTGCTACTAAGTTTTAGTGCCGGCAAAATCACTCCTGTAATAAAACAGATTATCAATAAGAAGTTAAAGAAGAAATCTAACATATTCCACCTCTGCAAAAATTCAACAGTTATTTAGAATTACTGATATAGATTTGGTTTATATAACAAGGAGCTTAAGAAGCTATGTCAACAGAGACAGTTTTCCTCCTTATTTTTCTTTTCTAGTCATTTATGGGATTCTAAAAACAAGATTTAAAAAGAAACTGCGTAAGAAAATGCAACAGAATACTAGAAAAAAATAGGAGTAGCAGATAATAACCCACATACTAGCTCTAAATAAAAAGCACAAAAATTCTGAGATAGCCTAACTGCTGATCTGACATTATATCGATTGTCAAGATACTTCTTAAGATACTCAGAGCTTGCAAGTGCCGTGTGCCCTGTTTTGTCAGCCATATTACAAAAGGTGGTTAAAAATTACTTACATGGCAATTTCTGAACTCCACTGAGAGACAGAACTTCAGACCAGAACCCACAAGTTCATGTGGTTGATTGGCCAAGTAACAACTTTCTGAGTTCACAGCTTGTCATGCAGTCACTGGTATATGTAGCAGTAAAGAGTGCTATGAGGAATGAGATGCTAGCTGTTGTAAGTATGGATTTAAAGACCTAAAATTTGGCCATTCCTAACACGGAAGTCATATGAATACATCACAAAGATTGCACCTTCAAGCATGCAAAAAGTAAGGTTTTAAAATATCTTTCTAAAATTACTTTGATTATCTAAAATACATAAGGCTTGCTCTACTGAACTAGTCTTTGTTAACAGCTACGCCATATCCATTAAACCAGAATAGAAATATTGTAAACATGGCTGACTTATTAAATCAGTTTTAATTTTGCAGTTTTAAGACTGAAGTAATACTGTAATGTTATATTCTTTGTATTATACGAGTAAGTGGGCAAAATGAAATCATTCCTGGCTGACAGCTCTCAGCATTCATGGGGCACAAAGAGTCTCAACAAAGTAAGCGAGGCTGTTTGTTTGTTTATAGACATACATATAAATACAATTTCTAGCCCTATTTTGGTTTGTCTCAAGGTGACATCTTCAAATAATGTTAGCAGCTAAACACCAGGTAGATATCTTGATTAAGTATTTATGTATCCATTACTATTCATACACTGTTTTGCTTGATACCAGCCTCTTTCTGTACCCACTAGAAGCCCAAAGCTTACCTGAAAGCTCAAAGATAATTGTCACTAACAACGGGACAAAAATTCTACCTTGAATCTCTAAGCTGATGTTATTTTCCATTACTTTATTCAAACTCTCCTCTGTTTGTACTGAAGAATCTTGCAATTAT